CCACTGCCTCTTGCTGTGATTGTGACAGTGGCCCCTTAGCTGGCCTCCCCGTTTCTGTCCCTCACTACCATCCCCCAGATTCTTCTCAATGCAGGAGCTAGAGGGACCTGTTAAAACCTAGGTCCCATCTCACAGCTCAGGTCTTTACCAGGACCACATCCTTAAACAGCCCACTATTACCTCTCCAACCCCATCCCCTATTACTTCCCTCCAGCTACACCGGATTCATCCTGTGCCTCAACATGTCAGGCACACTTCTACCCCAGGGCCTTTGCACATGCTGTCTTCATCATCCAAAAGACCCTTCCCTCAAATACCTACATAGCTCATTCCCTGAAGCCATCAAGTACTGCCAGTGCCAGCCTTTCTGTGAGGCCTATTCTCACCGCCCTGCACAAAACACAAACACACACCAGCCTCCCCATCCCCTTATCCTGCTTTTTTTCCATAGCACCACCACCTGAAATACTCTTAATTTTATCACTGGATGCCTTATGCCTCTCCTCCTAGAAGGTATCAGGTCTTTGATTGTTTTATTCACTACTGTATCACCAATAGGTAGGACAGGGCCTGGCAGTAGAATGTGACCAAGAATGAATGCATGCATGCATGGCCCATCTTAGAAGATGGCTCCTACTCAGCTCCAGCCAACTGTTACCATGCAGGACTGAAGAACGCACATTGTCACAGCTTCCTATTTTTTTAGAGAATTCAAATTCTAGATTTTTCTATGTGAATTACCCAAATTTTAAATGTTGGCAATGGACTGTTTCAAAAGCACCAAAGACAAGACCCAAACTCCCCAGCTCAATACTCACAGGTCCCATCCTCTCACCCAGCTGATGCTTCCTGCCCCATCCCAAGCCACCTTACTTCTGACCACATTAGCCCTGGCTTAGAGCCCCTTCCCACCCTGTGAGCATGCGCCTACCCATCCCTCAGTACCCACCCGCATGGTCCTGTGCTTTGGTCACTAACATGCACAGCCAAGCACAGAAGCAGCGCCCCACCTCCAGCTGGAGACACGGTCATTGAGTGGCAACTTCACGACTTTTATTTGTGGTGCCTGTGCTTTGTCTCGAAAATACCTTCTCCCCCTACCCCAGACAGTGCAGGTGGGGAGGGGGCAGCAAAAAATAGAAGACGTCCCTCCCTATTGCACATGGACCCTATATACAGGCCCACCCGGCCAAGGCCGGCGGGACTCTTGGCACATTCTTGGATCCCTGTTCAGGAATGGGAGGGGTGACTGGGTGGCATCACACGTGAGAGAGAGGGGACCTCCGGGTGGCCACTCGTCCTGAATACTGGTCCTGGAGCTTCCTGTTCATGGTTCCTTCCTGGTCCCACCTCCATTCCTGGTCCCCTACCTGGCTCAGCCTCCCACTTCCATCCTGGCCTCAGATGGCCCCCCATTGGCTCCTGGGGACTCTGTCCTCCCCTCCCAAAATGGAGGTCCTGAGGGGAGGTTATGGCTTCTCAGAGACTCCCCCAAGAATCCTGTCACTCGTGTTCACGCAGGGGAAGGGATGTGTGTGGCAGAAGCAGCTGTATAAATGTGGGTGTGGGGACAGGTCCTCCAGAGTCACTTGGAGAGTTTGCTGATGACACGGATCAGGGCTGCGTTCTCATCCTTGAGCCGCTGGTTGTCAGCCCGGAGGTCAGACAGGGCCTGTGGGATGGGACAGGATCAGCTGGTGGCCCTGGGCAGTCGGAACCTATGGCCCACAGCACCCCATGAGTAGTCACCTTCAGCTCCTCCTCCAGCTCGGCTGCCTTTCGCTCCAGGGCCCTGCGCTCCTGTAATAAATGGGGAGGGTGAGGGCAAGGCACTGGGATCAGGGAAGGCCAGCGGTTGAATAGGGCTGAGAAGGGTGGTGAAGGGTCCGAGGGCCAGGTTAGAAGGTCAGTGTAGCCTCCTTCATCCACACCCGCCTGGACTTGTAAGGCTGGTGACACATGTCTGGCCCCACCCCAGCTGCCCTACTCACAAATCTCTCCAGCTCCAGAAGGGCAGGCCTCTCTGCAAAACGCTCCTGCCTCTGGTGGGGACAGAGGAAGCACAGGAGTCAGATAAACATCCCAACCGCAATGGCCAGGAAGAGGAAACCAACAGTGAGAGGTGAAAGGCTTCCAGCTGGACCTCACTGCAGCAGCTCCCGGCTGAGTCCACAAACTCCACCCACTGTCGTCCAGGCCCCGCCCCAGAACCCTAGCCCTGCCCACCAGGCCCCTCCCCTTTGAAGGCAGAGCCCAGCTCCCTGCCCCTCCTTGTTCAGGCCCCACACCCCTGAAGGCAGAGCCCAGCGCAAACCCCACCCTTCATTGCTCATAACTCCCCGCTCCCCTTTTGTCCCCCCACCCCACCCCGCACAGGGTTGCCATGGGCTACCTGCAGGGCCTCAGCACCCTCACCTGCGTGGCGCGCTCCAGCTCCACCTTGAGCTGCGCCAGCTGCAGTGTGGTCTCCGTCAGGGCCTCACGAAGTCTCTCGTTCTCACTGCGCAGCTCTGCGTAGAGCTGGGGGTGCCAGGAGGGGCACAGGGTCAGGCCTGCCAGCTCTGCCAACCCGAGTTGCCACACGTTTCCGGGGAGAGGGCCAACTATGCCCAGGTAAGGTTAGATGAGGCAGCCAGGGCGGGATGCAGGGGCCTGGCAGGCAGCGCCACTGGCAGAGGCAGTAGGGCAGGGGTGTAAAGGCCGACTTATGGGGTTGGTAACGGCACCAACCGTGGGGTTGGTAACAGCACCAACCGTGGGGTAGGATCGCGAACCTTCTTGAAGCCTCCTTCGGGCTCTTCCGATTCTGGCTGGGGTTCTGGGTTGAGGTCCCGCTGCCTGCGAGATGAGGGGCCGCTCTCAGGTACGCTGGGTGGAGGCAGAGCACGGGGTCAGGGGGTGCGCCCCGCGGCCATGGATAGCCCAGCCCCTGCCCTGCCCACTCCATACCTGGATTCTGGGCTGATGTTCGTGGGTTCCGCCTCCTCACCCTGTGGGCGGGGTGGGATTCAGGCAGATGCTGGAAGGAGAGTTTGGCCCCAGCCCCAGGACCCCTCCAAAGCCCACCCACAACTCCAGCTCGCCCCGCCTGGGCCCACCCCTCACCTCAGCAGGCCCCCTCCGTTCCTTGCCAACTCTGCGATTCTCCCTGGCAGCCTTTGGTCCCTGCCCCTGCCCATCAGGCGCCTCTGCTGGGGGAGGGGCAGGAATCAGGAATCCCCTCTCTGCAGTGTCAGGGTTCCTGGGCCCAAGACCACAGGAAAACAGGAAGGCTGCAGCGGAAGGGATCGGGTAGGCTGCAGGGGGCAGCCTCCGGGAAACCAGACCTCACCTCTCCGGGCAGGGCCATCCGAGTTCTCGACCCCAGGAACTCGGGGCAACTGGGAAGGGTCCTGCGGGAGATGAGCAGAGGGGTCAGAGGAGGGCTTCTTGTACCACCCACTGCCCAGTCACCTGACCTCCACCACCTCTCACCAAGCTCTGTGGGCATGACTTCTCTGGCTCTGGGGCCTTCCCTGCAGCCTTCTCTGCTTCCTTCAGGTCTGTCAGAGTCACACCCTGCAGGGAAAAGGGACAGTCAGGGGTCCCACAGCTTAGGGACAAGTACCTTCAGTCCCCTACTCCAGGCCCACAGCCCCTCCTCCCTCAGACCCAGGAATCTGGGCCCCTCAGCCTCTTCCTCAGACCTGGGAGTCCAGTCCCCCATCCCACCCCCACACCTGTGTGGGCCTCCGAGACTGGCGCATGAGACGGGAGCGAGCTTTCCGCTGGGATTCAGATTCCTCATCCCGCACAGGCATCTGGTAGGACCTGAGTGAAGGGCCTCCAGCCTCAGAGATGGTTCCTTTGAGCCCTGTCCCCATCCCATGGCTGACACCCTTAAGGGGAGGCAAGTTCTGTAAGGACTTCAACTCCTAGCAGACCCTGGGACAAACTCTTCCTTCGGAGCTCCCACCCAAAGCCCTGGGGCCTCCTGGGTAATGTAGTTTTCTCCCAGCTCTGGACAGACAAGCTTCTGGGGGGCCTCTTCACCTCCGGCGGTCCCGGGAGTCCACTGTGGGTACTGCAGAAGCTGCTGAGATAGTTGGCTTTCCTGGAGAGTCAGGCTCCGGAATCCTGTAGGGAGGAGTGGGGTTATCCAAGGGAGGAGGCCTAGTACTCTCACACCTGTGTGAATTCATTCATTCAGTAAATATTACTCAAGCTCACATTATGTGACAGGCACCGGAGATACAGCAGTGAGCAAAAGAAACAAGTGACCTCTGCCTGATGAGCCAAATCTGAGCAGAAAGGATGCAAAATAAACAATAAGCATAAAAAGATTAGTCTATCATAGGATATGTTAGGAGGGTAAGCACACTGGAGAAAAGAAACAAAGCAAGGGCGGGAGATGGGAGAGCATGAGTGTCCGGACACTCCTACAATGTGAGGAGAAGGTTGCAGTGGACCTCCCAAAGAAGGTGACATGAAACATGAGGGAGGGAGAGAAGAAGGGAGCAAGCCCTGTGGGTGGGAGGGGGAGAGCTAGAGCAAAGGTCCTGGGGCAGGAGTGTGCCCATGTCAGAAAGGGCCAGGTGGCAGCCAGGTAAAGGAGGCCAGATCACTATGGCCTTGCGAGTTTTACTGTGAGCTTTCACTTGATACAGAAAGAGGGAAACTGAGGCAGAATGGTGGGGAGCAGAAACCAGACTCCAGAGAGCAGAAGGACTTGCTCAGGATCATGCTGACTAGGTTGGAAACCAGACCTGCCTCCCACCTTAGATGGGCCCTGGCCCTTGGTACTCACAGGGCAGAGGGCTCCGGCACCTTCCGGAAGGGGGTGGGGGTAATTCTGGCAAGACGGGGCTCCTTGGCCTGTGGAAAGAGGGGAGGAAGGGGGTATTCTCCTCGACTAGGTGAGGCCTGGCCCGCTGCCACTCACCCCACTCACCTGAGTGGAGGTTCCTTCCAGCCGTGAGGAGGAAGCTGAGCGCTGCAGCCCAGCCCCAGGGGTGCCCTCAGATCCCCACCTATCTGCGGGGCCCAGGGCACCAGAGCTGCCCGTCTTCTGAAGGCCAAAGCGCCTGGAGAAGGGGGCGTCCTCGGGGGTCTGGGAGAAAAGAAAGGTCTCAGTTATGAAGAAAAGGTCCTTTTTCCCATATATTTCAAGTGTTACCCCCAGAAGGACCACAACAAACTATAACTCCCATCAGCCCCCGGGGCATGTGCAGCCAAAAAAGGTATTCAGCTGTTCTGGAGTTTTCTGGGAACTGTAGTCTTCACCCTACAGACCCTAACAAGAGGTTTACAGGATTCATGGTATGCCTCCCCTACCCTCCCCAGGCTGGCATGGCCTCCAGGACATCCAGACTCACCGTGGGGTCCTTAGGGCTAGCGGGTGGTGGGGAGGACACTCCATTGAGGGTTCTAGATTCTGCAGGGGGTTGCTCTATTGGGTAAGATGGGAACAGTAACAAGAATATGCCAGGTGCCTCAGAACCAGCCCCTCCTCCCTCAGACCCAAGTGTCCAGGCCTCCAGTCCTCCCTCCCAGAGACCCAGGAGTCCAGGCCCCTAGGTTCTCACCTGTGGGGCCTTCCTCTCTGTCATCGTCATCCCGGATGAGGGGTCCCCCTGTCCCCCCAGGCCGGCGCTCCTTGGACAGGTCCTGGAGGGAGATCTTCTCTCGGCTGCTCAGACGACACACGGAGCTCCTGGTGGGGACAGGGAGGGTGCCAGGGTCCAAGCTCTGAGAGTCTCCAGATAACCTCCCCTTCCCCCTGGGCACCTCTCCTGTACCTTCGGTGTTTGCTGCTGGAGGGCACCTGGGGCTCCTGGCTCCTGCTCTGGGAGGCTGCCTTCTGGTTCTGCAGCTGCAGGGAGAAAGGGAGTTGCTGTGGAAGGGAAGAACACGGGGGTCCCTCCTGGGCCTCACGTCCCCAACATGGAGGGCCACCGCACACAACTGTGCTGGTCCTGCCTTCACAGGTGCTCCAACTATGGAGAGCTCAGTTCGTGGGTGGCATGGAGGGTTTTTGGACTTGTTCCAGTTTTCCTACAGGCATTCACGCAGCGTCCGAGGGATGTGCCCTGGAGCTCATGTGGGAGCACACCCTGTGCACTGCCATCCTCCTGTTCTTACCCAGTCTCCCGCTCCCCAGCCTCTGCTCTCATCCTACCTCCCAGGGGCCACCTGGCCAAACTTCTCCCTGACCCATGAGCACCCAACACGAGTCTGGCCAGCCCAGCCTCCTCTGAGCTCACACTGCAAACCCACGCCAGAGCCTGAGTCCATACCATTCACCCTCCACTCCCCATCTTTCCAGCAACAAGGCCCAGCCCAATGCTAGCTGGGGGTCACCCCAGGGAAGACAAGGCCCAGCTTGAGCCTGGGGAGACTACCCCGTCTGCATCCCAAGGTCCATATGGACCACAGGCCATGCCTCCTCTGGCTGCCCAGCCGTACCATCCTCACTGGGTATGTCACCAGAGGGGAGCAGCAGGTGCCTAGGGCGGTGGGCATCGGGAAGTCGGGGTAGGGGTGGGAGACAAGGAAGCCCAGCCTCCAAGGTGCTGACAGGAAGCAAGGGGCCCGAGACTCACGTCCTCCTGCTTCTGGGCCAGCTCCTCCAACAGGCTCAGCACATCTTCATCAGCAAGGTCACAGGGACGCTGCCCCTGTGGGGAAGGAGAGGAGAGGCCAATGGTGAAGGAGGTATGGGACCCTCCCCAACCCACCCCTGCCAGTCCCCAGCGACCCCAGGCCTCACCGCATGGGTCAGTGAGTCCATGCCCCCACCGTGCTCGGCCAGCAGGCGGCAGGCGTCCTCCACACCCCAGTGGGCAGCTGCGTGCAGGGGGGTCCAGCCATCCCCATCCCGGAGCTCAGGGTCATAGCCAGCCTGGAGGAGCAGCCTGGAGGCCCAAGAGGCTCGGGGTCAAGGACCAGGACAGGGATTCTGGGTCAAGGGCTGTGGCGGCTGGCCATGCTGTGGTGGCAGTACCAGCTGTGACAGTGCTGAAACCATCCCGGGCCAGTGCCCTGAGCCTCTCCCCACAAATGACCCCTCTACTATGGGCTCTGACCCCTCCCCTGGCCCGGCAGGTAGCTTCTGGAACCCTGCTCCATGTAACTGCAGGTGGGGGTGGGGGCCCCCAAGCCTATGAAAAGGATGAGACCCAGAAGGGGCAGCTGGGGCAGCAGTGTCCTAGGAACCTAGCTGGCTTAGAGAGCTGGTTCTTAGCAGGGCTGATGCCGCCCGCAGGGACATCTGGCAGTGTCTAGACGCTTCTGGCTGTTACAACTTATGGGTGGATGCTAGCAGCTCCTAGCGGGTTGGTGCCAGGGATGCTGCTACAAATCCTACTGTGCAGAGGACAGCCCCACAGCAAAGAATGATCTGGTCCAAATGCCACAAGTGCCGAGGCTGAGAAACCCCAGCTTAGACTTCCTTCTCCGGGGGATTATCACCCCCTTGTGCCACACGATTCAGGGAAAGGCAGGGTTACAAGTCCAGGGCAATTCTGCAAACTCAGCTTAGGGCAAACATGCCTGCCTTAGAGAACGGGTATTAGGCTCTGTCTGAGGAACAGCTAAAGCAAGACAGGAAAAGATGCAGAGACGAGGTAACTTATAAAGAACCTTTTTAAATAAGGTCCTTTGTGTTGCCCTGCTGACCTGGTCACTCACCTGCCCCCTGAGCTCCATCTGCTCCAGCCCTGATGGGTGCTTGCTATTTTCCCAAGGGTACACCCACTTTTTTTTTTTTTATCACATTTCTTACCATAACTAACACATAAGCAGATGGAAAGAAATCACTAAGGACATAGATTTTAAAAGCATGACTACAAAGTTGACCTAATAACCTACATAGAACACTGTACCTCACAACACAATTCTTTTCCAGCCCTGCACTTGCTGTCCTCTGCCTGGTGGATGTTCTCGGTGTTTCAGATGGCCTCCCCTTCTCAACAGGCACACCCCTGAGCCTGACCGTTTAGAGTACCCCGTTCCCCTTGCCATAGGGATCAGCTCTGGGACGGGCAGGTGCCCAAGTTGGCCCAGTGAGCATAAGACCCAGGACTCCTGCTAGAACTATGGAGGACATGGCACTGTACTTCAGGAGCGGGTGCTAACCAGCTGGGATACAAGCCTGGAGCTGTCAGGGGTCATTTTAAGTACCGTGTTTCCCCAAAAATAAGACCTAACCGGAAAATAAGCTCTAGCATGATTTTTCAGGATGCTTGTAATATAAGCCCTACCCCAAAATAAGCCCCAGTTAAGATCGTCAGCCAGACATGACTGTATTTGAATAAATGTAGACTTTTATAAATGAATAAAATGTGTCTTTTGGAGCAAAATTTAATATAAGACCCGGTCTTATTTTCAGGAAAACATGGTACCTCATTGGAAAACCTGCCTAAAGATTTAACACGGGGGCCGGCCGAGTGGCTCAGTTGGTTAAGAGCTCGCTCAAGAGTTTGAGCTCTGAGCAACAGCGGTTTGATGCCCAGCCCGAGTTGAGCTGCCGCTGAGCTGCCAACAGGTGGCAGGATGGCTCAGCTAAAAAAAAATTAAAAATTAAAAAAATAAAATAAAATAAAATAAAAAATAAAAGATTTAACACGGAGGTGAGCAGAGATGGAGTTCATCTTAACTCCATTTTCATACTAAAAATAAAGTATAAGGTCATAAAAGAGAAAGGGGAATTAAAGAGAGAGCAGGGAGCCTGAGGATAAGAACTGGAACCAACTACTCCAACCGAAGGGGATGGGGCAGCCAAATGCGGACAGGACCAAGATGAGTGACAGAAAGGAAATATGCACCATAACAATTTAAACTCTACATGCACCAAACAACCTTCAAATATACAACACAGAAATTGATAGAACTATAATAGGCAAAACCCACAATCATGGGTTTGTTGTTTTTTTTAATCACGCTTCTTACAATAACTGACAGAATAAGCAGATGGAAAGAAATCACTAAGTACATAGATTTCAATAGCATGACTACAAAGTTGAGCGAATAACCTACATAGAACAGTGGGCCTCACAACACAATTCTTTTCTAGCTTACTTATACTGAGGTATAAAATAAAGCAAACTAACGAATTTCAGAAATCTGGAATCATACAAACCCCATTCTCTGATTATAGTGCAATTAAGCCAGGAAACGTGTAATGAAACAATGACTATGATATCCCATGTATTTGGAACTTAAGGACATACTTCTATATAATCATGGGTCAAAGAAGAATGATTACACATTGGAAAATGTTTTAAACTGAATGACAATGAAAAGCTACACATCAGGACTTGTGAGAGCAACTAAAGCTGTATTTAGAGGCAAATGTATAGGCTTAGGTACATACATGAGTAAAAGATGGGAATAGACAAAATCCACAGGAAGGTGTAAGACAACGAAAAAGAGCAGACTGGCCCTGCACAAAGAGCAAGGGAAAGGGAGGGTCTACGCCGGCTCAGCTCACCTCATCACTTCGATGTAGCCCTTAGCAGCAGCCACATGCAGGGCTGAGGCCCCCGTGCGGGGATGCCGGGCCTCGGGCATGGCACCCCCATTCAGCCAGCACCTTGTGTCGTGAAGCAGCAATTCCTCCTCGGCCCGTTTGGCTGCCTCCACATCTACACCTGGGAGGACAAGGGGTGACAGGTGGGACTCATACACCAAGGTCCAGGAAGCACCCGTCCCTCTATGTCTTGTGTGTTCCTCTGGGACTTGGCTTGGATCAGTGACTTCCCAGCTGTGCTCTGTGCAATCCAGGGTTCCACTAAGAGTCTCTGAGTCAGGCCGGCCAAGTGGTGGGTTGGTTAAGAGCTGGCTTGGGACGCCAGAAGGCCCCGGTTCGGATCCCACATATGAGGGCCAGTGACACTGCCCTCTACAGCTAAGATGCTGAACAACAGCTCAACCTGGAGCTGGGCTGCCATGAGTCGCCGGCGATGGCGTGGGCTGCAGCCCCTATGGCAGTGGGTTGCCATGGGCTACTGTGAGTAGCCAGCAGCCAGTGTGAGCGGCCAGTAGCTGCCGTGAGCGGCCGTCCAAAAGCCAGCGATTGATCTGCCTCGCCCCGGAAGAGCGCAATGATGGTGCCAACTTGGGCCAATGAAGCAATGTCCTCCACAACTAGACTGAAGAACAAAAGGACAGCAACTTGTCTGTTCCCCTTCCTCCAATTCCCCAGCACTGTTCCTATCCCCTAATCCCCTAATTAAAAAAAAATAATAATAAAAAAGAGTCTGAGTCACTGCTGTGGCTGGGACAATGGAGACTGTAGGCCTTTTCCTATTTCAACCAAAGCATCACCTTCATCAATATTTTTAAGTATAAAACCTAAAGTTTATTGAGCAAATCCAGCATTTGACTACATCTAACTCTTCCTGTCACTACCAATACAATCCTTAGCCCACCACCTTCATGCATTTTATCACCATTTTCACTGTGATCACTCATGCGTAGGATAAACTAAGCAAAAAGCCACTAAACAAAGTTTTTGTATCCTGAGGGCAACAGCTTGGTCCCTGTTCACAGCTGTGCTATCTACTAGAACAATCTGACTTCCTTCTTAGTCAATTTCATTGTACCCTATTGGCTTCATGGAAAGTTGTCCTGCATTTATAGATGCAAAAAACAAGCTATGACTTGAAATTAAATGGAAGTTGATTTGGGACCAAAATAGCCTTGCTGAGGTTGGACTATTACCTGTGACTTGTGACTGAGAATCTGTATTCTTTAGCCTCTTAAACTATAGAGGCAAGCGTAAAAATGGTCTTTTCTAGAGAATGTTCAATCTCTCTCCTGGGAAGGTTTTTACTATTATTTTTTCAACTGTGAAATTTCTCGCAAACTACCATGTGGAACTGAGCTGTCCTGCACAATAGCCGTCAGCCACATGTGGCCACCGAGCACTTTAAGTGTTGCTAGTTGAACTGAAATGTGTCATAAATGTAAAACATGCTGGATTTTAAAGGATGAGAAAAAACATGAATAGTTTTTGTTAAATATTGATTACATGTTGAAATGATGTTTTGGATATACAGGGTTAAACAACATGTATTACTAATGTTAATTTCACCTGTTTCTTTTTACCTTTTTAAATGCATCTACTTGAAAATTTTCAGGGCCAGCTGAGTGGCTCAGTTGGTTAAGAGCACAAGCCCTGAGCAACATGGTCTCTGGTTCGATTCCTACATGGGCCAGTGAGTAGCGCTCAAGCTGAGCTGCAGCTGAGCTGACAACAGGTGGCAGGATGGCTCAGTGATTACAGCGTGCGCTCTTAGCAACAAGGTTTCTGGTTCGACGCCCGCATGGGATGGTGGGCTATGCCCACCACAACTAAGATTGAACACGGCACCTTGAGGTAAGCGGCCACGAGCTGGACAGCTGGCCGGATGGCGAATGGACTTGGAGCTGAGCTAGCTGTGCCCTCCATAACTAAGATTGAAGGACAACTTAGCTGTTCCCCTTCCCCAATTCCCCAATAAAAATCTTTAAAAAAATAAAATAAAATTTTCAATTACACTTGTAGCTTACATTGGCTTTCCATTGGACAGCACTAGCAAAGAAACTCCCTTACGACCACTTGGCTTAAAAATTTTAAATGACAGAAACACCAGAAGCCTCCTGTGTGCTCCTCATAGAGCTCATCTGACGCCCTGCGACCCCCGAGCTAACAACCATCATGAATTTGCTTTCGTGAACATGTATTTTGTTATATCCTTACTGCATATATAGTAAACTTCTGCCCTAAGGCCACAAGTGGGATTCCTAGAAACAACCCCCCCCATCCACACCTGAGGACAAAATCCACCCAGGTCCAGGCTTCCTGTTGGTGCTACCAGGTGGCATCTGTGCACTGCCTTTGGGTTTCCTGTCTGGCGGGGCTGGATGGTGGCAGCTATTCCAGGAATGTCTGGTTGGTTAGGGCCCATCTCTTGGGCCCAGTCTGAGGTGGAGAGGCCTCTCAGGAACCAGCCCTCTCCCTCCCCCTCTGCTACTTCCTTAAAGGGAATCACCTATATCCAATCCCATTACAGCTGAATGTGTCTGACTTCAGGGAGGGGGGAAGGGCCGAGTTTGCTTACTTTATTCAACAACCAATCTTAGTACCATGTTCACATGCATCCTGCTCAAATTTGCTTTCTGCACAGATCTGCCTATGTCTATTGACAGAGCTCAAGATCCAGGTTGGCAAACTGCATCCTGGGGGTGCAGGCCACCTGTTTGGATTACTTTCTTTGTTGTGGTGGTAAAATAAAATAACATAAAATTTACCAATTTCGCTGTTTCAAAGTGTACAATTCAGTGGCATTTAGGACATTCACAATGCTTTGCAACCATCATGCTACCTAGTTCCTGAACTTTTTCATCTCCCCAAACAGAAACCCGTACCCATTGAGCAGTCAACTCTCCGTACCTCCCTCCCCCAGCCCCTGGCACTACTTTCTGTCACTATGGGTTTGCCTGTTCTAAAAGGCCACCTGTGTTTGTAAATAAAGTTTAATTGGAACACGGCCATACCCACTCACTTACGAGTACATACAGTCCCTGGCTGTTTTTCCCACTATGGCAGCAATTAGGTAGAGTAGTCCAAACATGACAGCACATCCCGCAAAGGCTAAATTGTTGTGCAGCCATCCCCACCATCCACCTCCAGGACTCTTCATTTTACAAAATGAAAACTCTGTGCATTAAACAGTAATTCCCCCAACCCCTGGTAACCACCATTCTACTTTCTGTCTCTATGAATTTGACTACTGGGTACCTCATACAAGTGGAATCATACAGTGTTTGCATTTTTTGTGACTGGCTTATTTCACTGAACATAATATCCTCACGGGTCACCAATGCTGTAGCACATGTCCTTCCTTCTCAGGCTGAAAGTATTCCATTTTATGGATTGGATGGATCACATTTTGTTTGTCTATCACCTGTTGGTGGACATAACAGCTTCCACCTTCTAGCTGTTGTGAATAATGCTGCTGTGAACATGGGTGCACAAGCTATACCTCTCTGGCCAGAGCCAGGCTGTAATGGGCTTCTGGTCCTTGCAAAGAATCGTACCTAATTCAGCTGAGCCAACTGGACCGTGGCCTTCACTCAGGATGAGAGGTGTGCTCCGGGTAACTGGCTGAGCGGATCAAACGCTCTCAGTGACCAGCAGTCCCCAAGAGAGAAAGACAGCAAGCGAGGCGGGGCCGCAAAGGGGACAGCTGTGCTCGAGAAAGAAACTGAGGCTGAGCTCTCAGCAGCATCCACACCACTGATGCCTTCTTTCTTGGAGTCTCCAGCCTCTGTCCACCTCCGTCTTCTGACCTGGCCCTGCTGTAAGCAGCTGCCAGGATTACACTTCAGCCGGCACCTGTCTGAAGGCCTAGCACACGTGGGGATTCTCCATCTTTCCAGACATGTCCTCAGTGAGGCAAGAGCCTCTGCCCTCCTTGCAGCTGGGGTTCAGTCTGTGATCCGGGTTCTGCTGAGGCCTCCATGTGAAAGCGAGGGTTGTGCAGCCACATAGCAGAGGCCCCTGGATTCTAGAGGCAGTGACAGCAGCGGACTTCACAGCAGTGTCGCAACCCCAGCAGTGCAGCTGAGGGTCTTCCCAGCAGTGCCATTGCATTGGCCTTTGCCTACAAACCAACCTCCCCCAACCTTTTTCTCAGCCAAAGGGGAACACAGGCAGCTTTCAGAAGCTGATGCGCACTATGAGCGATTCCTGAAGAAAAATCCAGAATGTCTAAGAGTTCACGGACCCCCTGGTGGCCATTCTCATGCCCCCAGAGTCCAAGGACTCCAGGTGGAGACCTACAGAAGCAGCCGCCATGCATCGCCCTGCAGACTTTATTTTATTACGAAGGGAGGAAGATGCCTCCACTGAGAGCTACCTGGCTGGCCCCCTGAACAAAGTTTAAAGTTAACATCACCAGTAATGGGGCAGTCTTCTAGAGTGACCGCAGGTCCTGAACCACAGGAGAAGGCTACCCGCCTGATAGATAACAGTGGTCCTGACACTGCTGGGAGAGTAACATTGTCACCTCCCATGCAGTTACTAGGAGTGTCCTTGCTCTAGGAGACACTGCCTCCAGTGTCCGGTGGAGGATACAGTGTCTGCAATATAGTCTCAAAATGTTTCAGAAAAGAGGAGGAATTGAGGGAGGGATGGGGGGAAAGAAAAAAGAAAAAGGGAAGAGAGAGAAGAAATACGAAAAAGGGAGGAAAAAGGTGAATTTACATATGGAGTGGGGGAAGAGGAGGGAGAGGGAGCACACACAAATGTGCCAAAAAGTTACAAAACTGATGAATCTGTATTTTATGATTCCATTTATACGAAACATCCAAAATTGGCAAATCTAGAGAAACAGAAAGCCGATGGGTGGTTTCCTGGGGTAAGGGTGACAGGGTATCAGGGGTGATGGCTAAGGGACAATGGGTTTCTTTTGGGGTGATCAAAATCATCTAAATCGATGTGGTTATGGGGGCACAGCATTGAATATACTAAAAAGCACCAGACTAGACACTCATGGGTGAGCTGTAAGGACGGTGAATTGTATCTCCATAAAGCTCCTGCAACATGGGTGAACCTCAGTGAAGGTCACATTGAGACTCGTACTCTTGTCACAACCTTTCTCTAAGTTTCAAGTTTTTCAAACTAAATAGTCACAGGAGAAGACCCCAGCTCTGTCTTTTTCTTTCCTCATTCCCCACTTTAACCAAAGCAGGGCTCCCGAGACCCAGATGTCACCTCCATGCATCCCACCGGAGCCTGGGTACCTGGCGGGGCTATCTCACAGTCGGGGGCACTGAACCTGCGCGGGGCCAGGCCCTGACCCTTCCCATCCTGGTCTGCAGCCGGGAATCTGGGCATCACCTCAGACACCCCATACTGGTTCTTCATTCACCTCCTTCACGGTCCTCCAGACCTGTGCTAACACCTTTCCATCAGCGGCCTGGCTGAACCCTGCCTCCCAACCCAGGCGCCACCGCCCTCATCCTCAGTCACCCATATAGCCAGGATGCCAACTCAAGAAGCCAGATCTCAGTAGCCGCACTCGAGGCCCAGGACTCCTGCGGGGGTCCCACAGGCACCGCAAACCCCAAGACCCCGTGAAGCTGTTCCTGCCCCACAGCCAACCTGCCCTGCGTCCTCTGCTTCCAGGGCAGCCAGGCTACAGCCTGCCCCATGCTGCCTCATGTCAACTTGTCCTAGATGGTTATTTATAGGTGTGTGTGGGGAGGGTCACAAGCCCCTCTGAAAACCTGCTAGAACCAACACATGCCCTCCTTAAAGAAAGAAACACAGCTAGTCACCGAGTTTTTTGGAGTTCTGGACCCTGGGGTTCAGTGATCCTACGCAAAGGGGGACCAGTCCCCAGAGGTCCTGCATTCTACTTCCCTCAGCAAACAGTTCCAACAACACCTGCAACGCGGGGGTCCCACAATCCCACCCCTGGACAAGCCCCGCCTCAATGTCCTGTTATTTAAATGGTAAAATGACAAGGCAGGTCAATGTCAGTCTGAGCTCTTAATTCTGTGCCCAGTGGTGGCACAAGCACTGTACGATCACTCGTTTAAGGTGCCAAGCAACCACTGGGGTAGGTGCTTACACCCCCACTTCACCCCCACCGAGGCACAGAGGGAGTCTGAGTGTCCTAGTAAATGGAGGGGCTGGCCTCTGAGCCCCGGCAGTCTGATTCCCAGACACTGGGGAGGAGCCCTGTCCCGCAGCAGCACCCAGGGCCCACCTCGGTGGGCGATCTCTGCCTTCAGGAGCCCCTCCATGGCGTCGGACTCGGCCAGGTCCAGGGGCAGGTCCCCATCACTGTTGACGGCAGCAATGTTGGCCCCGTGGCTCAGGAGGTACCTGGAGGTGGGGGGAGGTCAGGGCCAAAGGGTCCAAGCCCCAGCCCCACTGTCAGGTCTTGGGTCCCGCCCACTTTCTGCCGCCTCACCTGGCGATATCCAGGTAACCACAGGAGGCGGCCACATGCAGAGGCGTCCAGCCTTCGTTGTCCGCCTGGTTCACTGTGGCGCCCTGCTCTACCAGGAAGCGCACCACCTCCAGGTTCTCATCGATACAGGCCTGGGGCAGGGGATGGGCTGTCAGGCTGTCAGCACTCACCTCATCCAGGCACCACACACCCAGCAAGGCGGGTCTCCCGACAGGGACCATGAGACAGATCCAGGGGCTAAGTCACCATGACATTCAAGGAAGAGACCCCGATGGCTCTGGGACAGGCTCTGAAAGGTACCAGCCAGGCCCCTGAAGGCCCCTCCAGCCACCCAGCTGTTAGAGACACCCCTGGCTTCCCAATGGTTAGGTCAGCCAGGCCTTTGGAGTTCAGTGGAGACCATGAGAGGGGGTTTCTCAGCTCCCTGCAAGTAGGAACTGGATGGAGAAGAGAAGGGGGCTTCTCATCCAGGTGTAGGAATCCTGAATAGTACTTGTTAGACGTGACCTATCCCACAGCCACCACCAACAGGATGGGGCTTCCAGTGATGAACTGAAGGGAAGAGGCCCAGCCCATCCTCCCTCAGACCCAGCAGATACTCATGACCCTCCTTGCACCCTGAGGAGAGATGGCTGAGCGCCTGAGGCCCAAGGCTGTTGCCGGGCTGGTAAAGTCACCAGGTCCCTGAGAATGTGGGGTAGAGCGAGGGACTCCTCCTATAGTGGAAGGAGGCTGCATCAGTGTGTGCCCAGGGCCTGGGGCCTGAGGAGCTGCAGCTCCCACACACTGAGGGTCCACTGTGCACAGGACGCTGTGCCCAGGGTTCTCTATGGGCATCTTCCCCATGCCTTTCGCTGTCAGGACTCTGTTTTACGGAGGAAGAATCAAAGCTCCAGAGACAAACGCCCCAGGACACACGCAAACACTGGATGGGCACTGGAGCTGAGCAGGTCTATGGGAGGTGGGTGGACCTGGACTCCCCAGTCTTCAGGGTAAATTAACCCCCCAACTCCCTCACCTCTCCCAAACTGCCCATCTGGAGAGGGGAAGGAAGCCACGAGAGCCAAGAGCATGAAGTCATGGAAACTCAGGCTGTGAGAGGGGGGCCACACGTGCCCTGGGAACGGGATGAACTCTGGGCTCCGTTTATTTCCACCCAGTTGTCATGGCAATGGGGGAGGGGGGGCAAGGAGAGAGATGGGCCTTTCCCTTTCAAGGACCTGGCCCTGCACAGGCATCCATGTGAAAGATGCCTGAGGCCTGGGCACCAAGGATCCAAGAATCCAGGCCCCAGCCCCTCCTCCCTCAGACCCAGGAGGCCAGGTCCTCAGTCTTTCCTACTAATCCATACCCCAGACCCTAGCCATGAATTCATAACGCAATTTCAGGAAGGAGGAGAGTATACCAAGCTCATGAGGTGGTTGTCAAACTGGCCTGAAGTGGGGGCTAATGTTTGAGAACTCCTGGGGACACAAGCAGGGCAGAGGGCTGATGCCTGGGAACCCAGTCAGGGAGTATTCAGAACAGAAACCACAGCCCAGGTGGAGAAACCAGAATCCACAGCCCAAGGACTCAACCAGATGGAAGGGCAGCCGTCCCAGTCTACCTGAGACTTGGGGCTTCCTGGGCCCTGGGACTTTCAGTGCTAACACCAGGCCAGTGTTGGGACAAACCTGCATGAGCTGGTCACCCCACTCCCAGCTCCCCTACTGGCTGGCCCTGTGACCTGAGGCGGGAACCTCCCCTCCGTGAATCTCAGATGTCCTAACCCTTCAAGCCTCCTCAGGGCCCTGGCAGCAAGTTATCAAGTGCTGGCCAAAGGTGGGAGAGACATCCCACTTGAGAGGCAGCCTGCCGGGCAAGGCAGCAAGGCTGGAGTGGCCTTTTGTAGGGTCCAGGCCAAGGGGATGCTGGGTAATGGGTTTGGCCTGAAGAACAGGGCCAGGAACCCCTTAGAAAAGGTCCAGGGGAGCCAGGGGCAGGGACGGTGGTGAAGGAAGGGGGACACAGAAGCATGGGGCCTCTGCTGGGCTGGCCAGCATCTGAGACCCTACAAGGACTCAGGAAAGCAGGACCCTCCTCTGGGTGGAAAAAAATGTCCCAGGTTGCACTAGGGCCTCTGCTGGAACAGGCCTGGGGGTGGAGAAGAAAAGGGGGGAAGGAATAGCACTTAGACCAGGGGCAGCAACTCCCCAGCTAACCACTTAGGGTGTTTCCTGAAGGGAGTTCTCCACACACACAACCTCCCTCGTTCACCAGCATCCTGCCAGCGAGGGCCTGACAACTGGCCCCATTTTACAGATAAGAAAACAGGCACAGAGAGACGAGACACAAATTCAAGGTCACAAAGTTAAGAAGCTGAGATCAGAACTCAGAGCTATTCTGTTTTCCTGACCTGTTCCTCTTCCTGGGAACCTCAGAAGAGGGACTCTGCAAGTATCCCCTCCATCACCCTGCCCCCTGCCAAGCTTTCCTTCCCAGGGTCCCCTCTGGCTCTATCAGTAACCAAATCCTAGGGATTGTGGCAGGGCGGGAAGGGCTGGGACTAGATCAATATTAGGAGACTAGGAAGGAGATGGTCTCAGGAATAAAGGGAGAGGATGGTGGCTCTTCCATGGCCAGGCCAGTCCCTGGTGGTACCATGGGGGTGGGGGAGCAGGGAGGAAAGGGAGATAGATAAAAGTACCCAGAACCAGAGAGAACTCTGAGGCATAACATGGCCTGAATGTGACACAGGGACACTGGAGGCAGCAACCAGGGTGTGTTGGAAAAGCACGGGTGCCCAGATTGTAGAAGGAGAAAACTAACAGGGTTCTAGAACCCTTGAGAAGGTGACATGACACAGGGCTAGCAGAGCGCACAGTCTATGGGAAGGAGAAGCTGCTCTATTCCACAGGAGGAGGGGGGATCTGGGCAGAGAAAGCAAGATGATGAGAGGATGGAGAGGTGGCCCAAAGCCAGGAAGAGGCGGGTGCTTTGAGGTTGCCCAGAAAAAGGGGGATGAGGCAGGCCTAGCCAAGGGAAGGGGAGACAGAGGAAGAGGAGGAGAAACATCCCTGGCATATGGTGGAAGGAAAGAGGTGGCATAGGCCCCAGGAGGAGAATTAAGAGGACATGGGGGTAGAGGGGGGCAGGGTGCCCCAGACAAGGGAAGCATCCACTTCAAGGGAACAGACCTAGAAGGCAGTGTGAACATTCAGGAAAGAGCATCCTTACACAGTAACAGATGGCTCAGACCAAGAGGGATAAGGAGGAACCTGAAAGAAGTGGCATGGAAAGATCTGAGCCCAACCAAAGAGCTGGCCCAGGCCAGGGACCCGGAGGGGAGGAAGAGCAGGCCTCAGTGAAATTGGCAACTGCCCGGAAGGATGGGGCAACAGTGGGCCAGAGGGGGTTCCAGCATTGCCGGAAGAGGTAGCAGCATTAGAGAGCAGAGTAGAGGTGGCATCAGTGGAGGCGGCACAGACGAGACTAGTAAAGGGCGCTCAGGGTTGGGGGAGAACAGCGCCAAGTGACAACACCAGAGCCAGTGAGATGGACCAGACTGGGGCCGTCAGCAACGGCTGGGTTCCAGGAAGAGGGCAGCGCAGGGTGGCAAACACAAGGGCCAGCTCCAGTGGCTCGGGGTTGGAAGAGGGGAGCTCGAGGTGGGTGGGATGGGAAAACGGGCTCGGACAGGGGATCAGCACTGGATGGCAAGGACTAGGGTGGCTTCGCCGATGCAGACCAGGACTGGCAACGGTGACTCCGGACTGGGCAGGAAGGTAGCACAGGCCGAGGGCAGACGAGGTCCCGGGAGGAGCGGGGGGCGCTGACCTGGTGCAGGGCGCTGATGCCGTCGGCGTTGGTGGAGTCGAGCACGGCGCGGGCGGGCGGCGGGGCATCTGGGTCGGGCTCGGCGCCGGGGCCGGGGTCCGCCGCACGCAACATCAGGCGCGCCTCGTCCAGGTCGCCGCCCGCACAGGCCGCCAGGAACTCGGCGGCGCGCTCGAAGCGTACGGTGCGGGCGCGCCGCTCCCCGGGGCCCGGCTCGGCGCCCGCCCGCGCCCCCCACTGCCGCAGCTGCTCCCGCCGCCGCTCGCGGGC